GAATGAAAGTTCTTTAAAAGATTTAATCTTTCAAACGATATAAATTGCTCGAAAGGTATACAGGAAAATAGTTGCAACGTTTTATAAGTCAAGAGAGTGGATTTCCAAATTGTTTTGGGAATTTTTTCACTTTTACTAAATCCCGTCCATTTAATTAAGTAGACACTTTAATTAAATCCTCTCGAAGCTTCCCTTTATCATCGTCAACTTTTAACCAGTATTGCGGATGACGGGAAAACGTTTTTCCATTTTAATTATCTCCTGAATAAAAGAGAAAGGGAGACACCGTACCGTTTTTTACGCCACGAAACTGTATCCTTTTTCAATTAGAACAAGGACTTTGGTCAGTGCCTGTGAAAATTGACAAGGGTTTGCATTAAATTCTGTCTGAGGAAAAAATGATTCAAACCAGGAGTGAATTCCGAGTAAAAATCTCAACAAAGGACGCACAGTTCTAGGTATAACCGCATGGATTTTGAAAAAAAAGAGAGAATAAGTTTCATGGAACACGGAGCCACTTGTATTATATTAAGCGGAATTCCGATGCCGTCGACGACCAGGGCGGTCGATGTTGTTTTAAGCACCGTTGAAAAGAAAGTTATTACCTCCTTCGTCGAACTCGTTAAGTTCCGGGTTAAGCTTTCGACGCGACTTCACTCGCTTTGATGCTCCACAATGGGGGAAATAATGCGTTTGAATCCTCTCTCCCGATGCCTCTGGAGAACATTATTGTCCGTGATGAAATTCCGTTTAATAATACTTATCCTGTCCTTAAACAGGAGTCTCGCGATGATGATGTGAATTAAATCCTATAAAATTATGGAGTATTGCGAATAGTCAACAGTTGATTTAGACATTTATTTAGACATCCATTTCTGATACTCTTCATCCAGCGGTTTGTTTTATATACGTGAATTCCTGTGCTTGAACTTCAAACGAATACTTTTCGCAGAGAGATTTTCTCATCATTCTTCAACTAAAACCTGGGTGCTTGCAATGATCCATGCTCTCTGATTCGTTTGGCACTAGCACAACAAAGAGGAAGCGACGATTACATGATGCACTATACATTGTGCACTATGTCAGAAGGATACCGCATCCAAATGATGCTGCTATCAATATTGTTGACCCGACTGGTTGTGTAACGCTGCTTGTGCATAAAGAGGAACGCTATTGCGTATACGCATCACGAATTCCATTGCAACCTATCGGGAACGAACGATATGTCGCCGAACTGGCAACGTACCTACCATCGACGAAGATATTTTGTCAAATGTAAATCGACACTCTGTTTATGAAATCAGAATACAATGAAAGAAAAGAAGATAGTGTGAAGAAAATGCATTCCACCCACAAGATTAAAACAAGACACACTTTCGCCTCGACTGACAGAGAGAGATCGAATCTGATAATGGATGCATCGTAAATCGCAATTTCTGTCAGAATCTTATAAATCTTACAGAATACATTTTAAGTTTATAAGGATTTGTTGTTATATTATAAGATCTGGTGTAATGATTGTAAGTGCTTTAGAATTGAGAAAAATTCAAGTAAGAAAACGATTACTAATTGTCAGATTACGTGAACTATCGTAACATAGATTTAAATCACTAGTTAGTCTCAGTTTGTGGTTAAAAAACTTCATGTTGTTGTTCATTACGGGATGGTCTAGTGAAATAGTGCTTCGTTTGGACATTTATCCGCCGAACTAGCGACATAAATTCACTATTTCAAAAATGAAAACAAACTTTCTCACCAAAAACCAGGAATATCCAGAAGATTTGAGGATAACAGTAAAGGGATCGATAATCACCTGTCGTGTCTCGCTAACGAAGGTAATAACGTATTTCCCCGGCCCTTATTAAAGGCGGATCGCTACGGAACGAAGGTAATTCGTGTGTATCGCGGAAAGAGTACGTGGAAGGGCGGTTCTACAGGAATTTCAACATCGTTAAGTGTACGAGGGTGGATTCCTTCTGGTGGAACGCGAGCAACGAAAAATCGCTTTTACCGTCGGCACAGGACTATTTTTCCAACGACGGCATCTTTCCCGGCGTGCAGCTACCGATGTACATATAGTATACTGAGCGCTCCTGGCTAGTTTTCCCTCCAGGGCACAAAGTCGTTTCGACAAATGGAACGTCCGCGCGATAGAGAAAATTGTACCCGGCAATAATAAAGCGATACGACGGACCGCGAGCAGAATCTGGGTGGAGGGTGGAGGATATGAATTGAACCGTGCAAAAGCCGCTCTCTCTGTCGCTCTCTCTGATACCACCGATAAGTCTAAATATTATTATACATCCACTTGTTTATCCTTACCTTCCACGTTCACTTGTTTATTCGTACCGCTTAATCTGATTGTACTTTTACCGGAGGGGAGTGGAAACTCGGAGCTGTCGAGAATTATCGTCGACCAATATTTTTCCACGGTACCGTGAAATATTCTTTTTATCCATCAGTTATAACTAACAGTTTTCGATTTGGATCTCCTTTAAGCGATAATAATGATTTTTCGCAGTTCTTCTAAAATACAAATTCGTAATATATGGACATGTTCATTGTTATTTTACCAATTTGTATAAATCGTTTGTTGTATTTTTGCTTGTTTTTTTTATTATATTTACGAAATTAGATTTTAATTTTAGAGAAACGAAGTCGTTCGAAGAAACAAAGTTTAGTGCATGTAAAATGCACACGGTTGAGAGATTTTCATTGTACGTTTCAGATACTAAATGGTTTAAGCAACACTCCGATGTAATAGATTGTAACAATATTCTACAACTGAAATGAAGTTCCTTCTATAACGTTCCCACACTTTACACAATGCGCTCTGCGATGTTTATAAATGCGTGTTCTGGCAAACGAGCAACTCAAACTTCCCACTCGTGAATATTATTAAACGAAAATTCGCGTTGAAGGGCGCCGCACCGATCCAACTTCGCGGCGCGTTTAAGTAGAACGACGAAACCGTGAATAATTCTAGCTGAAGTATACGTAAGTAAGGAGAGATACTGTTCCCATGTAAGCGAACACGGGATAACAATGTAATTGTAAACGAAACGGTTAATTAATTAGGAAGTCACTATTCATGTGCATATTACGCCAGCAGGGTCACTAAAATTATGAAGAATATGCTCATTTGTATTAAATGTAGAAAGATAATTAAGTGCAGAAATACATAATGTAATGAAAATAAATGCTCATTCATGTATTTCTTATGCAAAACTGTGAAATTTTCCAAAAATACTGTACAGTAAATTTGTAAACCCTGTATGAGATTTTGTAAAAAAGAACACGTTCAGTTTTTTAGAATTATTTCTAAATTAATTTAATGAGGCAATTGTACTAAAAAAATATTTCAAGATTCATTTAACATTGATACGACGGAGAGGATATGATAATTCACATAATTTCAAACTGTTAGTTTAACCTATCTAAATATAGACCTTCTACTATCTCAACAGGACATTAATAAGTTTTGTAAATTCTCATCCAATTTACGTAAAAAGAATATTTATCGCCGTATGGACAAATGAGAATTATTGTACGTGTAATTGCAGTGAAATTTTCATAAGACAGCACCGCGAGCGATGGGACGGTAGTTAAAATCGAGAGCTCCCGTTCTTCGGCGGTTGTAGGCGTCGACAGCTTTTGACGAGAATCAAAATATTTGTATTCATATCGGGTAGTGCGGTTCCAGGGTAAGTGGCTTTCTATGTAGGTGAAAGGAGTAGAGAGGGTTGGAAGGTAGTAAAGTACTCACGCTAGCGGTGTCCTCGAGTTTCCGCTTCCACGCATCGCTACGTTCGATTAGGGCGTTCCACTGCTCCGAAAGTTTGTTCACTTCGCGGCGTATGCTGCGTGTCAATTCGCGTGCCTGTTCCTCCGCGCTCCTGTATCCTCTCGAGTCGCCGTCTAATTCTCTTCCGGCTGAAATAGAACGTCAAAGACTTTGTTAGTTTCATATCGCAGCAGCAAACGTTTCGCTCGATGTTAGAGCGAAACGTATCCTTTGTACAGGATGCACACGTTATTTAATGGGAAATAGTGAGAACAGTTCTGTAATGTTAGTTTTATCTCCATTTCAATTACACTAACAATGCTTTCATTCATGGAATAGTGTGAAGCATTATGAGAATTTTATATAAATTAAATATAAAATGTATACGTATAGAAAATACATCTTACATTCAGTTTTAATTGAGACAAATAAAATTTTTATCGTTTAGTGCATTCAGTTAACATGTACAATCCTTATTAATTAAAATTAATTCAACTATGGTAAAACTTTTAAATTATGGAAATCTGATATCAAACGATCTGATACCAATTTGCCGCATCCATAAAAGTATTTGCGGACTATATTTTTAAATATGGACCGGTATACGAATTTATCAAACGAAGAATCGGCTCAGGAATGAATAATATTCAATCTGCAATTGCGATATTTATCGCGACAGCGTGAATCTCTCTTTTTTCCATTTCGGATAGCAGCAGCGGACGTTAACGAAGCATAGAAACGACACCGCGGCGCATTTGTATCCATATATGGCGTCGGCGAAGCCTACGTTACCTCTATCGTTGGGAATTAATTGTCCTATGAATCACGCATCGTATCACGCGGGACAGTTTTTACGCGCATGTTTAGCATTGATAACGTTCACCCGAACTCCATAGTATACCTAATCGTTGCGGCCCTATCTGCGCGTGTTATGATGATTTACGTTTACTGCGGCACAACTACCACATCGTCTGATTCCATAGTTGCTTTCTCGATCATCTATCTATGCAACGGAAGAAAAAAAAAATAAATAATGCGTTCGTTGTCTGACTTTCCTTCATACTTCGTTCCCGTTTTGTGATGAAGGGAAGGAAATCGTGCAGTGTGGGCATTAGGTACAAAAAATAGCGGAACGATTCCCATTATTGATAATGTTAGACGTATAGCCGCTTACGTTAGTTCTATAAAGGTTGGCGTATACTTTGCTGTACTGCGGCTTATTTAAGGTTTATCTGATTGGAACATTAATGGAATCATTTCTTATCTTGCTGATTGGTCATTTTATTTCTAAACTACATGATGCTATCAAACTATTGTTGAACCTAACTTACTGCTGTTGATTTAGTTGACTCAGTGATAAACATTCGATACCTATCTTGCGAAAAATATTCTTCCTCATTTGTTCCTACCTACCCCTAGTATTCCTGTTCCTACCCTGTTTGAATTATTGAACCTCATACTAACTAGTTAAGAACAATCAAAATTGTACAACGAAACAGAGTTCCAGAGTATGTGCTTGCGCACAGAGTTATATCGGCTTAATAAAGTCTTAAAGTTCCAACTTAAGAATTGTTGCATTTCGTTTCAAAAGTTGAAGTTCAACATCGTATGCAAATATTAATTTATAAAGTACATATTGCACGAAAATGGAATGTGCAAAATTAATTGAAAATCGATTAGATGTAACGAAGTAGTGCAACGATTAACAATTTAAGATTAAGAAAGAATGATTTTCTGTTTGTTTTTTTTAAATTGCACCCAACGTTGGATCATGATTGTTTACTTGGAACTGTTCCAGAATCTTCAGGAATACTTCTACTATCTAAATACGCGGGTAGTAGAGAGCAACACCGACAGGTGGGTGGGAAATCGTGTTTGCGAAACGCGATCGAGAAGTCTGAACAGGTAGCGGCGGTAGTCGCATCGTCTAAATCAGACCGATCGTGCCTCGCTGAAAGATACATCACGTTTGCGCGAGGAAAAACACCGAAAAACTATTTTCACGAAATCGAATTAGGCGGTCGTGTTCCTCATCGGTAAACCATCCATTCAACAGTTGCCGCATTCGATTTCCAGTCACGTACAGTCTCCTCGCTCTCCGCCCACTTCTATTTTCTTCAGTTTTTTTTACTCGTTTCCCTTTCTTCTCCTGTTACTTCTGCTCGTTACTCTTTCACTTGGCTTTTGCTCCGGAAACTGACCCAAGGAATTTATATGATTTCCATAATCTGCTCCTTTATGAACGACTGATTCTCTCAGGACTTATTACTATTATTATATCATGATATTTATTAGGCCACAATTAAAAAGATTAAGAAATTTAAAATTGAAACTACACTGTGTATGTTAAATTCATTATTCCGTTTGTAACAAAAGATCAGATATTTTATCGTCACGTAAAAGAGTTGCGGTGTTCCTTGCACGTAATAATTCATCAAATGTTGGGAGAAGGTAAATCAACCGAATTAAAGTACGCAGTTGCCGTAAAACTCAATACGAGAATAAACACCGAGTGTTCAGCAAATCGTTCTAAGGGAAACCATCTATCAAACCGATCCAAGACACACACAATCAGTTCAGTGCCTTCCAGGCTGGCAACAAATGACCAGAAAATTCTCGATCCATCAATCGCGAGATCCAATTCGTTCGAGACGCGATCGTTACGTTATACACGGTTGATGGTATGACGGAAACACGTACCGGCATGCACAGCGTAGGATGTAATCAACGAGAAAAACAAAGAGAGAGGTATCTACAGATCTTGTGAATTGGATCTGAAACATCGGTGGTCTCCTGCGCGAAGACAACCAGCGCTGGCTCGGCGTAGGATTCCAGTCGCCCGACAGGGGAGTCACGTTCGATGAAACGTGCACGGCATCGAGCAGCCCCGGTTCCTCCTCGGGCGTTGTCGTAACGTCAATAAATTTCAACCGATATAACACGCCGCATCGTATCCCGGCATGGCACGGCGCGGCGCGACGCGGCATGGCGTGGCATGGCGTGGCATGGTGCGCTCATCCACGGATCGTGCTCGCTATCGAGTTCCCCCTAGCCAGCTGCACGGATTTGGTCCGTGAAATCGAATCGAATCGCATCGAACTTCCCTCCTCGCTCGGGTCCACTCGACTAAGAATCACGCACGCCGTTCGCAATTTGTAACCGGCTATCAGACCAACACCCGCTACCAACGGCGTTTCCGCGATTTCTTCGGTTAAACGTGTACAAAGTGGATCAGAACTTGAACTTTGATTTGGAAGTTTAAAGAAATTAAATACTCTTTCTAAACATTTAACGAAGTACAGCGAAATAAGGTACTGAAAGTATTTTTAAATCAAATTGAATTTCTGATGTATAATGTTATAAAAATTAGGTTGGTGCATATAAAATATCGTTTTCTTTAATTTTAAATGTAAAAACAAATGTATTTGTTTCATATAATTCATCAATTACTTGTACACATTTGTTACTGAATAATTCTATTGTTATGAATGCATTCATCATTGCATCACAAACACAATTGATGCTGATTAAATATGTGATATTTTAAAAATTTAAGAGCATCGTGATTTACACTTTAAAGATTCGTGTCCTGTAAATTCTTTAGACAGTTCAAAAAGTCTCATGTTATGTCTTACAGTTAGATTAGTCAGAGTGCCTCAAAGACTCTTCTGTAACGACTTTTAGATACAAGACTTTAAAATTGTATACACGTTTGTGAAATACTTTTTCCTAAAAATGGAGAATAATGAGGAAACGAACTGTATCGATATTAAAGTGGACAATATCTCCGCCAAAGTTCTCACAGAATCTCACTTTTGAGTTGTCGGTTGTCCTGCGGGATATCTCCCCCAACCATCCACTAGCCACCGTGCACTTCGATACTTGTAACTCGATTCATACTGCCTCAGAGGTTCTTCGAGTGCTTTTCGCTAGCATTGACCGCGGTCTTTTTATTTCAACAACACCAAGAAACTATGGACTGTAAGTATTATTTATCGTTTAAAGTTTAGATGGTATAGTGAAGCCGAGTGATTCTTTCGGATTATTTCAAAAAACGGAAGAAAAATTCTTGCAGATAAATTTTTTTAAGACATTCCTGCCTGACAGACATAAAAAAATATAAAAAATGGCCAAAATATGTGTAATTTTAGAAACATGTTTCATAGACTATATTAATTAGAAAAAATGCATCGTTCCTCTATCGTCTATTGTTATAAGTAAAATGAAAACGAAAGGGGCATCGTCTTTTCTCTGACCAGGAGCAATGTTTGTTTCTCCGCTTAATGAAAGAGAGAGTCCAATGGCAGAATTCTGTCGCTGAATCCTTCTTGGTCAAATAACCATAAATTCCATGTTTCACGTTTCTTAATAATCCCACTTTCGAGAGGACGGAATTATCTAAATGAAATATTCAAGAGGGGGAGAGACCACGGTTACACGTTCGTCGTGGTTATTTTACGCGAAATCCGGTGACAAGAACGAATGGAGCTCGTTTCCAAGAGCCGCTCTTGTTCCGTTGGATTAAGTACAAGAAGGTAAAAAAAAATACAAAGATGAAAAAAATCGAGCGGGAAGCAAAAGAGAAAACTTCTCGTATTTTATCAATCCACTTAAGAATCCTCTTCATTCTGCCGCAACAAACTCCCACAAGGAGACACCCTTTGAAACTACAACTTTAATCAATCTTGCCTCTCTTCTTACCTCATCCGCTTTCACTATTGAACGTTCACTCCCGAAACAGAAATAGAGAATTCGCTGGCAGCTCTATTGAAAGGAATCTCAGAGCTCATCGATTATCACTTTATCTTCGATATCCTTGTTGACTTGATTAAAAAATTAATTTCCCTCGCTCCGGAGGACCTTTTCTTTGTATTATAGAGTTAATTTTTTGGCTTGACGGACGTTTAGATTATAACCCAGGAGAGTAAATTATTATTACATAATTTCAGACTAAAAGAATTCAGACATCTATAATTATGTACAAAAATTATGTGCAAAAAACACAGTCTGGGCAGTAAAAGTCCATTTCATATGACACATTATTACACGCAATTACAAGATCATAAGATTTTAATGGATTGTGTAATATTCGTTAGTTAAGTGTTCATCATCTGCGTTCCGAATTTCGTATCACATTTTTTCCAGAAGCAAAGCTAGGATCATTGCACTCTAAAACAAATATATCTTAATATCTGAAAAGCCTCTTTCGTCTCGTTGTTATTCGAAGGAAGTCGGAAAACTTTACAACGAAGTCTGGAATTCTGCGAGCCGATCGCTTTTCTGCACTTTTATCCGACGTCTAATTGGTATGAAAAATCGCGTGAAGAAGAATGGATGCGAATTACCGGAATTGAAAGCTCTACGGACGCCTCTTAATTATTAGGCCTGCGCTATTGGTGAATTTTAGTCGCGCGTCACGGGCTGAAGTTAATGAATGTACTTGGCCGACTTTTTTCGTCCATATCACGGAAACTTTTGTCGCTCCACAGCGGCCGACGTTATTCTGTGGACGATTTTTCGGTTTATTAACGTGGAATCGTTCTGAACGAAACGTATTCTCTTTAAGAATAATGGAAACTTCTTTTGATGGAATATGCGTTAGGAAAAAGAGATCTATTTTACTTTCGGTTATTTATTAATATATAGATAAAGAAGAAATATAATGAATATTTTATAAATTAATTATTTCCACTTATTTAAGCAGAAATTGTTTTGTTCATTGTTAGATATTATTTTCATCAATGCTGTTAATGCTAAATTGTTTTCCCTCTCAAGGAATTCATAATTATTCTCAATTCAACAATCTTAAGGCGAAGAAAAGGATGAATTGCTTTAACTGAACAATTAAATTCATTTAGCGAATCCTTTAATTTAAATCGATAACTGGGCACGATTGGTAAACCCGGGCTTCGTAAAGCTTTGCGGAGACTTTACCGAAGTCCTTAAACTTAACATTCAAGAGCTCTGAACTTGGTTATTTCTCCGAGTGCTCATAAAGCGTTCAAATATATATATGTATATATGAATAATTTAAACCTACATTTCTTCAATTTTAATTAAAAGGCACGGCATTGTGTTTCTTAACTATACGCTTTTAGTTTATTATTTTGCTCATTATTTGTAGATCAAAGGTAATGTAAATGTAGCATGTAGGTGCCTATTAAAATAAACTATGATTACGATATAAGAACTCACCTTCGGAATCCGACGTGTCAGATAGCGGTGGCTCGTTGGCGATGTACTGGCGTCCGCTCAGCAGGTTGTTTTCAACGATCGGTCGTTTGTCCTCGAGCTGTCTCCTGAAGCCGCGATGATCGTCCTGCAACGCGTACAAGAACACGATCCGTGTGAGCGAAGAAAATATTTCAAGCTACTTGAGCTTTCGCAGCTCGCCTAACAGAACAAGTAGGCTAATTCGCGGGTGTTTAAACGGGCTCGGTGCATCGGCGTCGTCGTCGTCGTGCTCGTATCTGTATGCGTACATTCGTAATTTTCCTCAAAAAGACATCGTAGCCGACGACGAGGCTGATGTCTGACGAGTGGCCAACGAAAGAGAAAAAGATAGCGCATAGCTTTCGTGATATCTCATCGCTTGACGGCTTCCTCGTTAACAAAATTATCTCGTCTCCTCTGGTTCTCGCGAGTCTCGAGAAAATTTAGACACCGGGATACACTTTTTGCACGTTTCTCTACTTCGTCGAGAAGGCGAAGATCTCTTTTTATCTTCTGTTCTTCGTCGAAGTACAGCCTTCTCTTTTTCTTCACTCTTCTCGCCCTGTTTGCTCTTACCGTCCGACTGTATTTACGTATTTTTGCGTTCGCCTTTACCAACGCGCGAGCAGAAAGTAGTTTAGGTGTCTTTTAACGGGGCGCGTGAAATCTTTTCAAACGTCCCGGAATAATTCACCTAGTTTCTCGTTGTTGCGACCACTCAGAAACCTTTCAACTTCCGGTAAGTGATGATGAAACAGCGCGTTATTAGCGCTGGTTTAAGTTCGCGTCTCATGGAATTATTTCGACCGATGTGATAACAGGTACCCGTGTTCTTTAATATCGTGAACCTTCAACAAATGTCAAGATCAAAAGAACACTTTTGCAATTTTATCAAACAGAACTTTATTTACCAGTATGCAAGTTATTTAATAAGAAGAAATAAATTTTTAATAAAGACATCTGTCCTTAGTTACTTAAATTTCTTAAACTATTTTAAGATAGAAGAGTATTCAGGCTACGTTCTAACATTTTGATTTATCTTATTTCGTCCGATATACAATTTCAGATTATGCTTTTACTGTACTTACTGGAAACGAAAGTGGGTAAATCATCATTCATTCAATTGAAGTAATAGACGTTTTCTAATTGGTCACGTCGAGATAATCGTTTTGTCAAATTAGTTATCGGAGTGACAGGTAATTACAGAGCGTGCCTTGAATTAACGTATTGAAGTAGTAGTGTGCTAAGGAACTGGCTTCTGTATTGATAATATATATCTATAAAATCGTTCAATAAGTCCATTTCATTTCTATACATTCATAACTTCATACTTCATTGAATCTATAAATTGTTACAAGCAATAAATCACTTTCATAAATACTATTTCCAATTTCCCAAGTGATAATATGTCAGTCAAATTATTGTCTGCGAACATAGCAATTAAATACTTATAGACTTCTTTGGATTTATGTACATGCCAGTGGCGAAGTAGAGTTATTAACGGATTCCATTCATAAAGATTGAAGATTAATATAGAGCAGTCAGATTCACGCACATTCACCCGGGAGATTCGGGTCACATTAGATGATAGAATCGTTAAGAAGATATAGTAACGTATTCCATTCGTCAACATCTTATTAGTATAGTTGTTATGTATTGAGTAAAAATACCATACTTTTGGTTTTGCTATTGATACATCATTAGCTATGCTCTAATAAACAAAACTGTACTAGAGATAATTAGCCTATAATATGGATTAGAAAGAACTAACATGATATTCAACGATTTTATTGAACTGTCACAAAAAAATGATTCTTGATATGTTAAAATACAAGAACGAATTCAATCAAGTTTCCTAAACCAAAATCATCATCTACTAAAATCAGCCAATGTTGATATGTAATATATACAGTCAACTGCTAGTTTATAATTATCAATTCATAGTTGAGTTAAGATTAAGTTAAATGCTTGATTATTTATACATACATGTGTATGTAAGAATGCGAGCATAAGAATAGATTTCCTTCTATTCGCAAATTCTCGCGAATTGGTTCAATTAATTCGCCATACATATAATTCGGGAAATATCGGGTAATTGAAGGAATTCCAATTTGCCGTAACGGCCAGACGAGGCGAGGCGAGGCGAGACCAGGCAACGAGCATCGGTGGCTCGTTGTCGCGCGTACGATCGAAACGCTCGTTGAAATCAATTCCCAGGCCACGATAATCGCCGTTTCGTGGCCGTACTTCGTCGCGTCTATTCCTTTTTGCACGTTCCGTGTATGCGTGTGCGCGCGCTCGATCGATTTCGCGTTAAGCCGTGCGATTCGGAACGGGATCGTTATACTGAAACGGCGACGACCCGTTTACTGCGAAACCGCGTGCACCGTTTCGCGTAGGTATGCGACATTCGCGCGAGTCATTCCGATTTCACGCACGCGACGGAACGATCTGCTGCGTGTCACGCATGCATCGATTTCACCTACACAGATCTTCTAACGTAGGTAGTACAGAACCAACCAAAAGCAATAGGGCAGGCAACTTACGAATTTTAAGAAACTGATAGACAATTTAAAAACAAATAATGCAGAATGTAATGGAAGAAAATGTTATTTGTAGAATTTGCTAAAACTGTTCACAGTAAATGAAATATTGTAACCTTTGGTACATATAAAAATATTTAAAAATGAAGAATGCAGAGATATATAGTTTATAAATGTATTGCAAATGTTCAGTATAAAAATATCCGTCATATGTATTTCTACTTACATTTCTTAAATGTAATTATAAAAATTTATATTTGCATCAAACTACCAATCCACAGTTTATTTATTTATTTCCTATACTAGTGCCAAGTTAAGGGTTTATTGAAATTTATTGAAAAGGAAGTGAATGAAGCTATTAAAGAAATGAATGCATTTAAGCGTTTTTAATCGGAATATAAATCCAAATATAAATAGCAGTGACTGATTGAGATGATTAATATGCTTTTTATAGATATAATTGATTTATAACAGAGACAGAAATGCACGCTAATTAGGTTCTTTTTAGTTATTAATTTCTTTATGTTGTAAAGCAATGTAAAAGTAGAGATAAACTAGCAGTTCAATTTTATAAATTGCCTTAAGTGATTTGGATTATGTTGATTATAGCAATAACAGGAAACGGTTGAACAGTATTTCTACTGAAACAAATGGCATGTTGAACAATTAAAAGGTTCGTTTATTCGTCACCTTGAAATCCATCTTCGCTCGGTAATCTTGTCTCACGCAAATGGGCTCGTGTACCTTGAAGCGTGCCCCGTAACCTACTGGAATCGACTGGATTACACGAAAATGATGCAATTAGGAGTCCCGATGTATGTGTCGACACCGACAAGCGAGGGGGCACGCGTCAGTTGAAGGGGGTAGGAGGTACTGTCCCCAACCCCTTTGCGGCCCAGTGTACAGTGCACAAAGACGTACCAGCTCGGCCTAATCCAGATTAGGACGTGCATGTCACCGGGCTGCGAGTGTACAGGGATGATAAGGTGGCATGTACCCCTACGATCCTGATCACGAACGGTCATCGACGAACGATACCTGCCACTGGCACTTATCCCCACTAGTTGTATTTGGTTCCATGAAAAATTCGTGTGGATGTTTAGAAGAAAATTTAAACATATCTTTTCTAACACATGATTTTGTTCAATGAAGTTATTGTTATTAACTTTCACGACTCTTGTCGAATGATTAATAAGCTTAGATATATACATTCCTTTTTCATAAAAATCTGAGTGTTCTAATCGTTCGAACTTTATTTCTTTACTGAATATTAATCTTGAACGAAAGATGAATGACGAAGGACGACGTGTATATTAAGACTGAAACGAGGTACTGTTTCTTGGAAATAAATAATCCATTAATTTTTTTAAGGTCTAGATAATAGATAAGATCTCGTCTCAAGTGTATCAGTTAATCACAAACGGGAGTCTGTTAATTAACGTGGACAATAAAGTCGCGTGGGATCATTTTGCAGGATAGCTTCCTGGCCGATTCGTAACAGCGATGAGGGATTTGAGATCAAGGATGACCGATGAACGTCTGCTTTCTGATTGATGGTAGATATAGATTTCCGGTAGATACATAGGACTGATTGCTTTGTTGGGTACAATTGCTGGGTAGAGTATGTTCAATAGAAACGTTAAAATTGCGATGATTATCTTAAAGATGTCTTGATAGGCGAGTAAACTCTTTTCTTGGATATTAATCAGAATTTGTCTTCTTAATTATAGCTACGTGTTAGTCTAGGTAAAAAAAATGTGAATTTTCAATACGAAAAACAATTTTATATTTCTAGAACACATTCATTTCGTGTAATATCGTAACATATAAAACAATCATAAATCAAGTTTTAATTCTGCTGACAAAAATTTTTAATGCTGCTGGTCATATAAGCTATTAATAGATTCCTTTGCTTTACTCAATTCTAAATACTTAGAAGAAAATTTCATTTCTCTTTCTGCGCTATTAAGATAATTACTTTGTACGATAGAATAAAATTGTTCTACACACGTCTAAATAGAATTGTTTACCAAGCTGTCTATTAAGCTCGAAGCTTCTCGTCTCATTCAATAATTTTATTCCATTTTCGAATGACATATTACCGTAGCCCGTTTCTTTTAAATAATATTCTAAGCAATACTGAGGAGATTGACGAAGTTTTTAATTATTTAAATCTGATACTGCAAATCCACGGTAATTATTTTCACTGAATCAATAAAGAAGCGAGCGACGCTTGGTCGAAAATCGCCGAATTTCGAATTGTTCGTATATTTTACGGTGGCGAACGCATATAATTTTAAGTTGCAAACTAACGCGGACACGCGGTGGTAGAACCCCAGGGGTAGACGCGAATGCAGAGCCGACTAATGACCGTGCCAGGAGTAAATCCAACAGAACTCTCCACGCGGCTGGATAGTAGTTTAACAATATAGTGGGCAACGTAATGCAGGAATTCCCCGCGTGGAATGGCCCCCCGAATGGTGTTCTAATTCGCACGCAAATAATTGCGCATAAACGAGCGATGCGACGCAATAATTTATGCAAATTATGAGGCGTCACCTGCCGCTTGGCGACCTACTGTAAGACTGCGGCCTAGCGAATAGCCCGTTTTCACCCACACCCACCCGCTTGCGCGAATATCCGTTGTTCTAGAGATTAATGGAAACGTGGTTTAGTAAACGGAACACCTGGAGACTCGTTTGCCCGATGAATTATGCCTAATTTCATTCAGTTTACGTTAAGAAATTGTACCTCAATTTTAGACGCGAATATGTACATCACCTTATATACAAAATATATATTGTATATATATATACATCTTTTTTACGTACAATATTAATTATAACATAATTTGATTTATAAAAGAAAACAAATAAAAACATTTTAGTTAAATGTTTTATGGTTCTAAATTATATAATGAATAATACATTGAAATTGGAAGAAGCATCACGTATTACAAACCATGTATTATTTGCTCGATACACCTTGTATCTTACATCTTTACATTGGACAATGGCATATATCGTGTATCTTGTTAACGATCACAAACTACATAGTATGTACGCCCTGTATAATGAGCGGGTGCACACGATGCATCGTGTCTTGCACAATTCTGTGTACTATAAAATGCACTTTGCACCTTGCAAAATGCATCCTGTATAATACGCCGAGCTACATGTATTATGCACTACACGGAATTCATCACGCACTAACCTTCAAACGCGACGCATAATATCCTATGCATTATGTACTTCACATTAACCATTTCTCGATCAATATTCTTCGCACGCTACAATTCACTATCTAAAATCCGTATAAACGGAATTTATCATCAGCTGCGTTTATTAATAGCAATACTGAGGAGATTGACGAAGTTTTTAATTATTTAAATCTGATACTGCAAATCCACGGTAATTATTTTCACTGAATCAATAAAGAAGCGAGCGACGCTTGGTCGAAAATCGCCGAATTTCGAATTGTTCGTATATTTTACGGTGGCGAACGCATATAATTTTAAGTTGCAAACTAACGCGGACACGCGGTGGTAGAACCCCAGGGGTAGACGCGAATGCAGAGCCGACTAATGACCGTGCCAGGAGTAAATCCAACAGAACTCTCCACGCGGCTGGATAGTAGTTTAACAATATAGTGGGCAACGTAATGCAGGAATTCCCCGCGTGGAATGGCCCCCCGAATGGTGTTCTAATTCGCACGCAAATAATTGCGCATAAACGAGCGATGCGACGCAATAATTTATGCAAATTATGAGGCGTCACCTGCCGCTTGGCGACCTACTGTAAGACTGCGGCCTAGCGAATAGCCCGTTTTCACCCACACCCACCCGCTTGCGCGAATATCCGTTGTTCTAGAGATTAATGGAAACGTGGTTTAGTAAACGGAACACCTGGAGACTCGTTTGCCCGATGAATTATGCCTAATTTCATTCAGTTTACGTTAAGAAATTGTACCTCAATTTTAGACGCGAATATGTACATCACCTTATATACAAAATATATATTGTATATATATATACATCTTTTTTACGTACAATATTAATTATAACATAATTTGATTTATAAAAGAAAACAAATAAAAACATTTTAGTTAAATGTTTTATGGTTCTAAATTATATAATGAATAATACATTGAAATTGGAAGAAGCATCACGTATTACAAACCATGTATTATTTGCTCGATACACCTTGTATCTTACATCTTTACATTGGACAATGGCATATATCGTGTATCTTGTTAACGATCACAAACTACATAGTATGTACGCCCTGTATAATGAGCGGGTGCACACGATGCATCGTGTCTTGCACAATTCTGTGTACTATAAAATGCACTTTGCACCTTGCAAAATGCATCCTGTATAATACGCCGAGCTACATGTATTATGCACTACACGGAATTCATCACGCACTAACCTTCAAACGCGACGCATAATATCCTATGCATTATGTACTTCACATTAACCATTTCTCGATCAATATTCTTCGCACGCTACAATTCACTATCTAAAATCCGTATAAACGGAATTTATCATCAGCTGCGTTTATTAATAAAATAATTGGTTGCTCTGTCCGATTTCAGGACCACTTACGTAACAATTTCAGTTTCCCATGAAAATTCTAGTGTAAAATCTTTTACAAAATTAATAATCTATACGCATATTATATTGTACAATTGTGTAACTTGTCCTTTTTGGAATCCCTTAGCTGTCAGTTTTATTAATTTCATTTATTTTTTATGTATCAAGTCGATTTTATTCAAGTGAATATATTAATTAAAAAATTTAGCAACAATAAACTTTTACGGGTAAATTGATCTAAAATCAAGTCGTTTAACTATGTAAATGATCTTACAATAAAACTTGGCACTTTTAGAATCGTTTCAAACAATCGAGCTGGAGAAGAATAAGAATAAAGTTCAATAACACTTACCTCTTGCTTCTGTAAGGCGGCTACATCTCCACAAACGGGTCCCAAGCCAGTGAGCTCCGTGTCTTTTCTGATCACCCATTCGATCAGCTCGCGAAGGGACAATAAAAGTGCGTTCCAGTGCTCCGTGTTACTCTCCAGTCGATTTCTGTAACACGAAATATCAAGAAACCGATTAAATTATTAAAATGAAATGTCTTTACGCAACCATACGAGGGGCGAGGGGGTTGAGTAGGTGTAGACGGAATTCATTACGAAATGGTTGAAACCGGGCAGACTGCGTGCGGTACGACTTGCAGACGCCGGCCGTGAAAACGATACGGGGAACGCGTGTGCACGTCTGGCCGTAAATACTGATAAGAAGAGCGGCTGGGCGCGCGTCACGGAGTAAAAGAATATTTATTCTGCCGGCGAGAAAGTGAAAGGGATGCGAAAAAATGAAAGAGGTTGCTGATGAATGGCGACGAGGAGACGGACGCTCGCGAGAGAAGTGCGTGGAAATTCATAGTAGCGAGACATTCAAGGTGAACTATGTAAAGAAAAATGGAAATCGTAACAATGAATAAAAGAAGGAAAAGGAAAGAGCAGGGACGTTAGGAGAAACATAATTACGGTTACATTCATTATTAAAAAATTGCTTTGTCAGCTACTGTTAGAATCAAGTAAATTATAAAACACGTTTTCGTTTGGATTAACCCTTTCAATAGCAAAGCCGACTGTAGTCAACGTCCTCATAACGAATTACAAATGTACATAATTCTATTTGTAAAATGGGAATCTGCGATGAAATCCTCGATACAGAGAAAGCTTTCTCACTAACGCGTGTGTGATAGGGAAAGAGTTAAATTAACTCAAACATACAAAGAGAAACACAGGATAGACTTAATAAAAACAAAAAATAATAAGAGGGACTTAACAAATTAGAAGAGAAATGCTGAACGTCTACTGTATAACTTTTTAAATATACATAAGCAAAAAGAAGATGTCGTACCGGTTGCTGCGACTGACGGAAGCGAAGAAAGGAATGGGCAAAATAGATAAACCTGAATGAATAAGGGAAGAAATACATAGAACGGATTGAAAGGAGCGGAGACCGAGGCGTGAGGGATGGCTGATGCTGGTGGTGAGAGAGGAGGACGCCGCGTGAGATTTAGATTTATATTCCGGCATTGTTGTGCCATCGTCAACGGGGTGGCTTCCTCTCGCACCCCCGGCCAAGCATCTACGACTCCTGTCTTCTCATCCCCGTCGCGTACAACTCTACATTTTCATCCACGAAAGCCGCGGATCTCGTCGCGTCGTCTGGTATCGCGAAGGAACAGTCCGGATATATTGCAGTTATTGTAATGTCGATGAAAGTCCTGCGGAATTCCGCGAGACGCTCCTATACTTCCGTCTGCATACAGTAACATCCAAAAGTATACACTACTTGTATCCTTGTATTTATGTAGTATATGAGAGACAAACTGACTACGTGGATAAGTACATGATATTTTAGACATTTATATGCACATGTGCTTTTGTACTATACAAAAAATTGTGAAACTAATTACGAATTGATATCAATATGTCTTACTTAGATAGACAACACAAAATTAGTTGATAAATTAAAAAGAGAAATAAAATCGGTGGTTCAAGGTGAACTATGTAAAGAAAAATGGAAATCGTAACAATGAATAAAAGAAGGAAAAGGAAAGAGCAGGGACGTTAGGAGAAACATAATTACGGTTACATTCATTATTAAAAAATTGCTTTGTCAGCTACTGTTAGAATCAAGTAAATTATAAAACACGTTTTCGTTTGGATTAACCCTTTCAATAGCAAAGCCGACTGTAGTCAACGTCCTCATAACGAATTACAAATGTACATAATTCTATTTGTAAAATGGGAATCTGCGATGAAATCCTCGATACAGAGAAAGCTTTCTCACTAACGCGTGTGTGATAGGGAAAGAGTTAAATTAACTCAAACATACAAAGAGAAACACAGGATAGACTTAATAAAAACAAAAAATAATAAGAGGGACTTAACAAATTAGAAGAGAAATGCTGAACGTCTACTGTATAACTTTTTAAATATACATAAGCAAAAAGAAGATGTCGTACCGGTTGCTGCGACTGACGGAAGCGAAGAAAGGAATGGGCAAAATAGATAAACCTGAATGAATAAGGGAAGAAATACATAGAACGGATTGAAAGGAGCGGAGACCGAGGCGTGAGGGATGGCTGATGCTGGTGGTGAGAGAGGAGGACGCCGCGTGAGATTTAGATTTATATTCCGGCATTGTTGTGCCATCGTCAACGGGGTGGCTTCCTCTCGCACCCCCGGCCAAGCATCTACGACTCCTGTCTTCTCATCCCCGTCGCGTACAACTCTACATTTTCATCCACGAAAGCCGCGGATCTCGTCGCGTCGTCTGGTATCGCGAAGGAACAGTCCGGATATATTGCAGTTATTGTAATGTCGATGAAAGTCCTGCGGAATTCCGCGAGACGCTCCTATACTTCCGTCTGCATACAGTAACATCCAAAAGTATACACTACTTGTATCCTTGTATTTATGTAGTATATGAGAGACAAACTGACTACGTGGATAAGTACATGATATTTTAGACATTTATATGCACATGTGCTTTTGTACTATACAAAAAATTGTGAAAGTAATTACGAATTGATATCAATATGTCTTACTTAGATAGACAACACAAAATTAGTTGATGAATTAAAAAGAGAAATAAAATCGGTGGATGATTATACATAAATAGATTTCCAAGATCTTAAATTTCGCGACCAAAAATTTTTGGACGATAATGTACATGTATTTGTATCACGCACACGTATTTGTATACGTATGGTATCGCGCTTGCTTTTGCTGCAAGATAAGAAGGCCAGGATATACCGTACGGACTTTGCTAAATACAGTAGAAAGATGATAGTCTGACTGTTTTCTTCTCTCTTTCCTGTGAGCCGTTAAACCGAATAGTGAATAGGCCGATTTTGACTGATACAAATTTACCGTCGTTGTTAAGAGATAATCATTATTATGGATTTAACTTGTATCCGGTACGTTTAATATTTTTCTCTGTAAGTCTCACGATTCTCAGTTTCGTCTTTATCCATATTGTGATGTTGAGAAGATTTACTGGATCGTGTGTTAATGAAAAAGTTTTTATTTCCTTTTCAAATAAAATTTATAATCATATTAATAATAATTTTAATATCAATAATTCTATTAAATATTAATTGGAAAATTTCATTCAATATGTTTATAAGATTAATTGGGAATCTTGATTCAATCGTTTCTAGTGTTATCCTACTATTCTCTGAACAAGCTTCCCGACGATGTAATCGATTGAACTATCAGGGAAGCAGGAAACAGCGAATTCGTAAAAACGGTTGGGTGTTGATTTTCCTTGAAGGATCGGTTTCGATGGGAACAAACAGCCTTAGCGCCCGATCGATAGTGACGATGTTCGGCTGTTTAATCGATGCGGTCGCCGAACGATTAATTGCTCTAAGTTCGGCGCAGCCTGATTACCGCAGAGGACAAGCAAGGAAGCAAGAGCCAGAGGCATGCAGACAAGGAGAGAGAAAGAAAGGGGAAGGTAGAAAGAGAGACGCGCTTGTCGGGGTTAATGGAACATCAACGTGATCCGTGTTTGCGTTAGAACATTGCAGTCACGAAAAATAGTTTCTGAAGTCCATTTGGCCATTACGTTCGTTTTGCGACTGCCACGAACAGAGGGCGACGGCCGGTGCAGTGCTTATACTGTGTATATAGATAGGTATTAAATAAATTACTTCACGTTCCTGCGATTGCGTTTCAATTGGTCGAACGTGGGTGCTTTAACGTATACACTCTCCCTTTATCTGATCTTTACGACGTAATGTAATATAAATTACTAAGGTCTGTCTTCTCCGAATTTTGATTAATTTTTCGTCCTTCCTAAAATCCCGAAGTTTCTATACATAAAATAACTTCCTTACGCTACAATAATGAGAGAAAGGATTAACCCATTAATTTTTTAATCAATTATTAGAAGCTTTAAATATTTGGTTCTTATGGATGCTATAATATCCAGAACAATAAATGTGCCGATATTTTCATAATTGAAGAAAGCAAATAGATTTTTTGAATTTGTAGCAAAACTTTTAGTAGTCAGGTTATTGATCATCGCAATACGAATTTGTAGAGGCGAGAATTCATTTCCTGCCGCGTTTGGAAAAATTCTGAGAGTTCGGGAACAAGGGGATAAAGTCAGCGGGGATTGGATTAGGAAACTTCGAACGATAACGCAGACACGATGCGGCGAGGGCGGAACTTTTTGATTACGGCTGGATGTTGCGCGCGGGCGAACATTCGGAATAATTAAAACGACGAAACGGACGTGGATGGCAACAAAATGTCCACGACACGACGCGAGGCACGGGAACGCGGCACGGCGGCCATCAGGCCGATTTCAGATAAGCTGGCTTCCGGCATCGCATCGGTGGCGTCCAATTTTCATTTTTTTCTCTCTTTCCCTCCGTTCTGTTTTTTCCTTCTCTCGTTTTATTTTTTCACAGAGACCGTTCGCCGAAAGCGTCGCGCCCCTAATCTCTCGAATTAACGAACCCCATTAAAAAAAATTTCTGTCTCCTCTGCGTCATATTTTTTAGGGGAGTGGATAACGCTCATCCGTATTACGATTTAACGGAGAGCTAATTCCCGAAAAATGCAGAAGCACCTGAAAATCGATGCAAAATGTTCAACACACTTCTTGTCTTTTAATGTATAATTTCTTAGTATAAACCGGCCTTGCATCAATTCTGAGTCTTACATAAATTCCAATATTTTCCAATCACTTTACTCGCGTTCAGATCTGAATGCGAATTTTAATTGTTTGAAAATGTGTAATGTGCACGTACGTATGTCTAGAATTAAAATTTAAAATGAGAAACAGAACGTGAAATCACTTTTACAAAAATACAACTGCGCAGAATTTATATATGAGAATTGATTATGATATAGACTATAGACAATTTTATTATAGTTTAAAATGAAAACTTGATAGTTTCTTTTATTTCATATAAATTACTGCAATTGAGTTTTTATCTTGGCAATAAGCTTGCCAAAAACTTGGGTATAGCTTTAATACCGGCTGCCAGG